CCTCCCACGGGGCCATGATCCTGGTGTCACCCTGGGCCTCCTCCCACGGGGCCACGGGCCTGGTGTCACCCTGGGCCCCCTCCCACGGAGCCACGGGCCTGGTGTCACCTTGGGCCCCTCCCACAGGGCACATGCCCAGAAGTCATCCTGGGCCCCCTCCCATGGGGCCACGATCCTGGTGTCACCTTGGGCCCCCTCCCATGGGGCCACGGGCCTGGTGTCACCTTGGGCCCCTCCCACAGGGCACATGTCCAGGAGTCATCCTGGGCCCCCTCCTCTGGGGCCATGTGCCTAATTGTCATCCCAGGTCCTCTCTCACAGGGCCACATTGTCATGGATGCCTCTTCCCAGAGCCCCTGGTTTCTTTCTCCATTATCTGCTGGCTTCCTTTGTGTCTGCCCCACTATGTCCTGGAGCAGACCACCTCCTCCCTTGCCCCCATCTGGCCCCCACGTCCTCCACAGGTAGCTGATAGACCCCTTCTCTGAATCACAAACCTGCCTGCCTTCCATGGGAACAGATGCCTCAGGAGGGGGCTATCACGAACAGACATTCACTCTCTCAGGATCAGCAGGCCGGAAGTCTGAATCCAGGGCTGGCTAGCTCTGTGGCCCTGGGTCAGGCCTCGTCTCGTCTTCCGGAGCCCCACTAGCCCTGGATTCCAGACCTCCCATAGTGCCTCTGTGCTGTCTGTGCATCACTGCTCTGCCGACGAATCCATTTCTGCATCTCAGGGTGACTAGATGTAGGACCCATTCCACACAATTGTGGCTCCCACCCGGGTGAGGATCCCAACACACTTGAAGTCACAATTTTATCCCCAACCAAACCCCCTGCTGACCAGAGATTCCCACTCCACCAGCCTATAGGCCAGCAGACCAGCACACGTGAGAGGGCGGGAGCCGGCTGAGATGTCCAAGCTCACGGCATAAGTGTCCGAGGGATGAGCTGGTCCACTCCCCATTAACTTGGAGGAAAGGCAGGCTGAGTGCCAGCGTCCTTGTCCACTGATGAAGACCCCTCCATGCGTCCCTCAGGCCCTGACGAGTGGTCACTGAGTGTCTCTCCTTCCCCCGACCTGGGGCTCACCCTCTGTTTATCAAAATACATAGTAGCTTTTCTTTTCCATTGGCTGTATTATTACACAGTTTCAGACTAAAAAAAAAGTTACAATATAGCACAGAATGCTCAGATACGACTCACTGACTCCTCCAATGTCACCGGTTCACCCCCTTTGCTTTATTCCTGTCCCTCTTTCACATTTGCTCATTTTACCTCTTGGGAGTGAGCTACAAACATGAAACCTCTTTACTCCCCATCTTAAGGATGCTTTAGACAGAATATTAAATGATCCAGGAAGCATTAAATGAAGATAGAAGGAGTACACAGAGTCACTGTACCAAAAGGAATTGATGGACATAGAAGAGTTCATGAAACAACATATGAGCAAGAGCCTGGGGTGATGAAGGAAGAAGTTCAAGCTGCTCTGAAAGAATTGGCAAAAAACAAGGCTCCAGGAGTTGATAGCATACCAACTGACATATTTCAACAAACAGATGCTGCCCTGGATGTGCTCACTTAAGTTGTGCCAAGAAATCTAGAGAACAACCACATGGCCAACTGACTGGAAAATATTGATATTTGTTCCCATTCCAAAAAATGGTGACCTGACAGAGTGCAGAAATTATCAAACAAAATAATTAATGTCAAATGAAAGCAAGATTCTGCTGAAAAGTATCCAAAAACACGTGGAAAAGTACATCAGCAGAGAACTGCCAGATGTTGTAGGCTGGATTTAGAAGAGGCTGTAGTACTAGGGATATTATAGCTGATGCTAGATGGATCTTGGCTGAAAGCAGGGAGTATCAGAGGAACGTCTATCTGTGTTTAATTGACTATGCAAAGGCATTTGACTGTGTGGATCACAACAAACTGTGGCTGACTCTGAGAAAAATGGGAATCCCAGAACACTTGATTGTGCTATGTGAAACTTACACTTGGACCAGGAGGCAGTCATCCGAACAGAGAAACACTGCATGGTTCAAAATCAGGAATAGTGTATGCCAGGGATGTGTCCTACCACACCTTTTCAATCTATATGCAGAACATTATCCAGGAACCTGGGCTCTCTGAGGAGGAAGGTGACATCAGGATTGGAGGAAGACTCATCAACACCTTGCGTTATGCAGATGACACAACCCTGCTTGCTGAAACTGAGGAGGACCTGAAGCGCTTGCTGCAGAAGGTCAAGGACTGCAGCCTTCAATATGGATTGAA